CAATATAATCGTACTCAAATAGAATAAAAGAAGTAGTTAAAGATTATTTTAAATCGAAACCTCGAAAAATACATCAAAAGTTAAATCAATAGAATTATAGTCAAATAGAATATAAATAATAATAATAAATTCTTTTAAATCGAAACCTCAAAAAATAAGTCAATACAAAAATCTTTTAAATCAAAAAATAAATCAATAAAAAACACTTGATTATAGAATAAATTGAAAAAGTACTTGAACAAAAAACAAAACAATGCAATTGGAGTAATTGATGAAATAGTAACTGAGTTTAATAGTATACATGACAGAATAAATAAAACTGAACACTTGCCATATCACTTTGAGGGTTTAAGCATTAAACATGGTAACCCTATTGTGTTCACGTTCTTGTAGAAACTGTTGCTCTACAACAATTGATGCAAAAAATGAAGAATATCTTTTTAGAAATTCTTTTTAATTTTTTAGTGCTGGCGTCGAGTGGAAGAACAAGAAAGAGGAAAAAGATTGGGAGAATATTTACGATTTTTGCAATTAGATTTTTTATTTAAAAAAAAAATTAATTTTAATATTAAAACACTTACCTATACCGGAGTAATAAAATCGACCACTTACCAGGCACAAATCAGTATAGGCCCCCACTACAATATTTTGTTCTTTTGCATTTTATATATATTAATTCTGTTTCTTTTTTTTTTTTTTTTTAATTTATATACTTATAAATAAAATTTTGTCATCCTTGAAATTATAGAAAAACTTAACTAATATAAAAACTACCCCCACTCACATGCTTCTCGGGGTAGTTTTTCTTTAATTCTTTTTCATTATTATTTTTAATTCTTTTGTGGTGGCTCAGGACCAACAGGAAACAATAAGGTTTTTGCAATTAGTTATTTATTTAAAGAAGAATTCTTATTTTCAATATTAAAAAACTTATCTATACATGATATGAGTAATAAAATTAACCACTTACCTACTTTGAGGCTTTAAGATGAGAACCTTCGCATAAATTACTGCTCTAGAATTAGGGATGGCAATGGGGGCGGGTTTAGGCGGGTGTACCCTCCCTCGCTCCCGTAACCGTTTAAAAATCTTTATCATCCAAAATCGAAAAAACGGGAGAACTTTTCACCCCATCTCCGTAACCGTTTAACATTTTACCTCCACGGGTACCCGCCTCGCCCCGTTTAAGACCAAAATTTATTTATTGTTAAAATAGATTTGCTCATTTTTTTTGGGGAAAATTATATTTTGGTAACCAAAATTAAATATAATTGCTCTATAGTGATCTTAAAGTCAAGAAAAGATGTGTAGTGACCAATGTTGAAACTTAATTGATATTAAGTGACCATTTAAAGATAATTTGGTCAAAAACACTTAAAAGTTTGATAAACATTTTTAAAATAAATTTTAGATAACAAAATTGTCATCCAATACAACCCAACAGTTGGCAAAATTCTGAAATTAATCAACAATGGTCATTATTTCTTAAACTATAACTCAATAGTATTAAAAATTTCCTAAAATTACAATCTTACACTTTAAGGAAGATCTCTCAAACAAATCAACTTGTTAAGTATAATAACTATGTATTAAAAAATTCTTAAAAATTAAAATATTTTATCTTAAGAAAAATCTCTTAAACAAATCAACTTGTAAAGTATAATAATTATACCTACAATTTTCTCGTCCCGCCTCTTAGAACCTTAAAGAAAACGATGTAGAACATCCGTCCTCAGTTCTCTCCCATCACCCGACAATGTGTCGTCTCTTTGTTAATCATTTTAAGTAAGTATTTATTTAACTTAATGAACAAGGTAAATTTGTCCACTTACACAATAATTTATTATAAGAAGGTTATTTAGGTAATAAACTATCAAATGGTTACTTATTAATAATTAAGTTTTAGGTTTGGTGACTATTCATCTTTTCTTGACTTTATGATCATTTTACACTAATCATGTTTAACCATTGCAACTTTCCAAATTCATTTGTTACTTTAATATTGTTATATAAGGTACTTAATATATAATAAGAAATATATATATTAATGAAATAAGTATACTTAAGTAATTTGTTATCTAAAGGGGGCAGAGCGGTGCAGGGCCACCTCCCCCCGCACCAAACCTATGCGGATTTTTATTACATCAAACTATTTCTGTCCAAATAAGCAAAACGGTCCATCAAAACGGTCAAAAACGGGACGAAGTGGGGCAGATAACGAGAACGGGTCAAATTGCCATCTACATTTAGAATGCACAATCTATACCAAAAAACGTTAAATAATTTTTTTAAAATTCTTTTGCGGTGGCCTCGAGTGGAACAAGATTGAGGAAAGAAATCGGGAGAGTATTTACTGCTTTTCTAATTAGTTGTTTATTTTTTAAAAAAAAATTTCTTAATTTTAATATTAAAAAACGATACCTACACATGACGGTAGCAATAAGATTGACCACTTACCATATTACTTTGAGGCTTCATGGGAGCCCTATTTACGTTCACGCCCTTGCAGAAACTATTGCTCTAAGACAATTGATACCAAAAAGATGAAAACTACCTTTTATTATTCTTTTAAATTCTTTTTCTGATAGCATTAAGTGGAACAATTAGAAAGAGGAAAATGTATGGGAGAGTATCTAAAGAACTCTTTTATCAATAGAGTTGTCAAAAAATTACTGTCCCTAAAAAAATATGTTAGAGCATCTTTAACCGTTGTGTGTATATGTATATTTATATATATATATATATATTGTGTAAATTGTGTTATACATAATAGATTTACAAGAATTTTGGATTGTTTATTTTTAACTCCAGCTATTATTTTATAATTTTTGTGTAAAAATATATCCCAGAAAGGAAATATGCTGATATGACTGTATAAAAAATATACAACAATTTTACATATTGGTGATGTGGCAGTATATCTTAATAGATTGCTGGAGAAAAAAAAAAATTACACATCATACATGGCAGTGTATATTTTACACAAAAAAATATTTTAATAGATTGTGAGCATTTCCAGCCGTTGTGTATATATATATTTTTTGGTACAAATTTGATATGTCATAATTTAGACAAAAATGTTGGATTATTTATTTTTAACTCCAGCGGTTCTTTTATACATTTTGTGTAAAAATATATCTCCAATAACAACCAATCAGTATCATGCTTGGACCCTACATCATTTTTACAAACCTACTTAATATAGGGTAGAAAGATGGAGGAAAAAGAAAATATGTTGATGTGCCTTTGTAAAATATACAACAATTTTACACATTAATGACATGACATTGTATCTTAAAAAAAAATTACATATTATACTATAGATTTTACACAAAAGATTTATTTATTTATTTTTTTTGTAAATCGTGTCATAATAGGTTTACACAAAAATTTTAGATTATTTATTTTTAGCTTCAGCAGTTGTGTTTATACCTTTTGTGTAAAAATATATTCTCCAATAACAGTCAACCATTGTTATACTTAGACTCCACATAATTTTTACAAACCTACTTAATATATGGTTGATTTGTCAATTAAATAAGAAAGAAGGAGGAGAAAAGAAATATGCCGATGTGACTGTGTAAAAAAGGTTGGATAAAATACACAATAATTTTACATATTGGTGAAGTGGCATTATATTTTAACAGACTCATAGGAGATGCTCTTAGGTGTTTGGTGATGAAGTACTTTTCACAATTAAATTAATTTTTAATTTATTTGGTAATAATTTTTTTTAAACACCATTATTGCTAATTTTACAATATTATCCTTTAATATAACATTGCCATATTTGATAATAACAACTTTAATACAAATATGGTGTAATTGTATTTATAAAAAATAAAAGGATAAAATTGTTTAATGAAAAATAGTTACCTAAAATATTCAATCTAAAATAAAAGTGCTTTTGCAATTAATTGTTTATTTCAAAAAAATTCTTAATATTAATATTTAAAAACTTACCAATTTAGTTTATATAATAGTTGATATGAATATCATATTAGAAAAGGAAAATACGCTTCAATTAGTCTATTTACCTCAAAAAGGTTTCTTAATTAATATTAATATTAAAAAGCTTATTTATCTAGTTAATATTTATATATATATATAAAAATGCTATGAACAAAAAAATATAGTTGAGTTTATAATAGTTATTTACTTCAAAAAGACTTCTTAATTAATATTAAAAAACTTAACTTCCAAATTAATATTAATATTAAAAACTTATTTATTTAGTTAATATTTAAATATAAGAAATATTTGATAGGAACTCTTTTAAAAAAGGTAAATTAGTGAGTAAGAGGAAGTTAATATATTGCAATAAGAAATTCTTTTATAATATATATTTTAAAAAGAAATTAATATACTGAAATATTGAAATTCAATAATGTATTGAAAATCTTTGTACTTTTAACAAAAGTATATATTATAAAATAAATTAATATATTAAAATATTGAATTCAATAATGTATTGAAACTCTTTGTATTTTTAATAATAATATACATTATAAAATAAATTAATATATTGAAATACTGAAATTTAATAATGTAATGAATTTTTTTTATATTTTTAATAATAGTATAAATATAGATATTGATACACTTGATTTACTAAATTTGAATATTTATTAATGAATTATGAAAAATTGAGTTCCCAAATAACATTTAAGATTAAATAGTTGTGTGGTCACAATTTAAAGAAAAACTAATTATTGTGTACAACTCTTATTTTTATTTATGGTGCGTCATTAATTTGTTTTAAAAGTGAGTTTGTTGGGGGTTAAAAAAACAGAGAAAACAGAAAAAGACTCGTACAGTGAAAGACTACTAAACCACTTCGTGAAAAATGCAAATTCGATTTTGTCCCACAATTTTTTCGTAAATTGCGAACCCCGTTTCAGATCGGCCCCACCAATTAAAAAATTAAAATCAACCCACCGACGCGGGAGGATCTTTCAGTAGTCCCACTCCTCCATCTCTCTGAATCGTTCCTTTCATATTTCGGATCCCCCAGTCAAATTCCATTCCACACTGTCTCTCTCTCTCTCTACACTTTCTCTCACTAAACTCTATCGGTAGTCACTCAAAACAAAATTCTGTATCTATAGATATTTTATTTGTACAAGTTCGTTGTATTGGCGGTTAGATCTGTCCACCATTCCTATGGCGATCGCTGTCCGCGGTGGCCGAGGCGGCGGATCGGGGCTCGGCGGTGGCCTCCGCAGCTTCTTCTCGTATCGCGTCTTCGTTTCGGCCATGTTCACTCTCCTCTTCCTCGCCACTCTATCTGTACTCTTCACCTCTCACCCCTCTCGCGAATCCGTAAGTTTTTTATTTTATTTTTCCTATTCTCTATACTCTCTCTATATGTATACATGTAGATGTATTTGTTGATGCATATATATATTGTTCTGTTGCCGAGACTAGGAAAAGAAAAAGAATTTGACATAGGAAGTCGATAAAAAACATTGAAATTGGATTTGGACTATCAAATGATTCAATTGAAGTTTGATAGATTTAATCTAATTTTGACAATTATGCGATTCAGTTGATCAATTTGAACTCAATTTTTGATCGTTATCTGTTCTATTATAGAGATTGTCTTAGAAAAGGAAAATAAATTTTTTTTTGAATCGCATAAGATTGTTTTCTTAGATGAAAGTAGAGTTGACTTTTGAAAAAAAAGAGTAGAGTTGTGGTTTGACTGTTTGACGATTTAAACAGTTGATACAGACTACTGGGAATGCGTATGTGCACCGGACATTTTTAGGGTTGAAGTCAGATCCGTTGAAGACTAGATTAGATTTAATTTATAAGCAGGCGAATGATCACATTGTGCTTGTGACTGCATATGCAACTCATGCAAGGAAGCTTAAGCTCGAGATCTCTAGGCAGCTACGGACGTTTGATGATTTGGCTCAGAACATTTCGGATCTAGCGTTGAAGCCAAGTTATCGTGTGTTGTTTGAGTCCAATGAGCTGGTCGATGAGGATGTGTTGAGGCAGTTTGAGAAGGAGGTTAAGGATAAAGTCAAGGTTGCTAGGTTAATGATTGCTGATACGAAAGAATCCTATGATAATCAATTGAAGATTCAGAAATTGAAAGATACGATATTTGCAGTTAAAGAGTTGCTCATTAAGGCCAAGAAGAATGGTGCCATTGCTAACTTAATTGCTGCAAAATCAACTCCTAAGAGTTTGCATTGTCTTGCAATGCGACTCATGGAGGAGCGAATTGCACATCCCGAAAAGTATAAAGATGACGAGCCTAAGCCTGAGTTTGAGGATCCAAGTTTGTATCACTATGCCATATTTTCGGACAATGTAATTGCTGTCTCTGTAGTGGTGAATTCTGCGGTGAAGAATGCTGAGGAGCCGTCAAAGCATGTTTTTCATATCGTGACACAAAAAATGAATCTTGCAGCAATGAAGGTTTGGTTTAAGAGGAGGCCTGTAGAAGGGGGTGCCCATGTTGAGGTGAAATCAGTGGAGGATTACACATTCTTGAATTCTTCTTATGTTCCGGTACTTAGGCAAATTGAATCGGCAAATTCGCAGAGGTTTCACTCCGAGGACACAACAGAGAATGTGATTGATGATGTGAACACCAAAAAAACTCAAAATAACAAGCATTTGTCAATGTTGAATCACCTCCGGTTTTACTTGCCAGAGATGTACCCGAACCTGCACCGGATTCTTTTTCTGGATGACGATGTTGTAGTTCAGAAAGATCTGACTGCATTGTGGAAAATTGATATGGATGGAAAAGTGAATGGAGCTGTTGAGACCTGCTTTGGGTCATTCCACCGTTATGCTCAGTATTTGAACTTCTCTCACCCTCAAATTAAGGAGAGGTTCAATCCCAAGGCTTGTGCCTGGGCGTATGGAATGAATATATTTGACCTTGATGCTTGGAGGCGTGAGAAATGCACTGAGCAGTACCACTATTGGCAGAACTTGGTAAGTGTATATTTGCTTCCAGAAATGCTTTTTCTTTTTTAATTTACTTTGGTATCTATGAATATATACTGGCTGTTGGAAGTCCTAGGTTGAGTTTGCAGGTGGGTTTTATTATTGCTTCTTTGTTATTTATTTATTTATTTATTTTTTATCAGAATGAGGATCAGACTTTATGGAAATTTGGCACGCTTCCACCTGGCCTTCTTACCTTCTACTCAACCACAAAATCCTTGGACAAATCATGGCATAAACTGGGGCTTGGTTACAATCCGAGTATTAGCATGGATGAGATCAATAATGCTGCTGTCATTCAGTACAATGGAAACATGAAGCCTTGGCTCGACATTGCTATGAACCAATTCAAGCATCTCTGGACTAAATATGTTGATTACGAAATGGAGTTTGTGCAGGTGTGCAATTTTGGCCTTTAGAGGAGTAATTTTTGAGGTAACACAGAATTGAGTTGCAGTCGTGGTCCATTTTGTGTTTTTAGAATCCTTTCAGGTCTTTATATTTCATCATTCGTTGTAACTTCAGAGCGAAGCTCTGGGCTGTGATCCTTATTTTTTCGACAATATCTCCCATTTTTTCATGTTCTTTTAGTCGAAGTCCTAATTGTGAATTGGAACCAACCTGCTTGGGTCATGTATACGTTCAGACGTTTCTTTTATCTGAAATATTCTCTAACAGTTGATTTGATGACTCACAAATGGCAAATACGTGATGATTGATTTGATCCCAGATCCACTATTGCAATTTCAAAATATTTAACTGCCGTCTGTCACTCTCTTTTTAATCGACCTTTATTATGGATTCACTTAGCTTAGTGAGGTACATTTTGGAAACAATACAAGCATTGAATATTTATTCGACTAAATGGCAAGCTGGTTCTCTAAAATCTTCAAGCACCCACAGGGAAAATTGATGAGAAATATAAAATGAGATTGAAGAGTTAGTATGGTGGTATCTGTGACTCAAAATGCTTTTGTGACTTGGTGGCTGATTCGGGATGTAGTATTAGATGCAAATGGGAGTGTGGAGCTGACCCAGTAAAGTGGGGCCAGTGGTTACTTGTAAGCTTGATATTGAAATGGCTTATGACTGTAAACAGGGATTTCCTTCTTTATGTGATGGACGGGATGGGTTTCGGGGACAAGTGGAGGTCAGGAATATGGTGTTTTTTTATGGTAGGGCTCTTGCTGTTGGTCTGCACAGGACTTTGAGAGGTCTGAGGTAGGGTGTTCTGTCATCTTCTGTTTCTTTTGGTAAGAAAAGCTTCTAGGTGGATGTTTGTGTAATTATATATATATATGCATTTGATGTCAATTTCAGATGTGTTATATAACACTGTACAGGGATGGGTGTTTTCAGGTTGGGCAGAGGAATTATCAGTTATATTTTGTGGCAAGGATGTGAAACAGTTTTTTTTTATAGTTGGTACTCACAAATACTTGTCTCTTCTAAGACTTGAACCCCTGACCTCCCTTTAGGAGGTAAGAGGCTAATACTGTTAGACCACTGGCCCGTCGGTGCTGCGAAACAGATTAGTTAGTTAGTGTGTGCTTTAAAATTTTGTGGTAGTTTGAGAGTAAATTGGGGATATTCAGAAGTGATTTGGGTGGAAGAGGTGAATGGTATTTGATTCTTTGGCTCTAATCTAGGTTTGACATGGCTTCTTTTCCATCAGTCATATCTAGGTTTGCTGTTGGGTTCGTCCGACAGAGCATAAGTAATTTATGTTATTTTATTTAGGTTTTGTGGTGAAATATATTGAGAGAAGATTGACAGAAAATGGCAATGTTGGTCAGAGAAAGGAGAACAAAAAAATTTAATGCTCTTATGACGGAGTTCAAAGAGCTGTTCTCTGGAAACAACTACAATTCTTTGAGCCTAAGATAACTACAATAAGAACATTAAGATATACTGTTTTGCAAATTGCACAAAAGTTGTCATTTATGGAGAGCAAGAATGTAGTCTAGCACCAATATAAAAGGTAAAAACTGAAGAGAGCTTATTATAACTTTAAAAAAGGTAAGAAAAGAAGAAAAAAGGTAGGTTAACCCATAGTATTGAATTAGTGGGGTTGGTCACTTGATCATTAAATTCATTTGTCAAAATAACCATCTCCTTCATTGCCATTATGATTATAAAGAAGCTTTTAATTCTAGAATACAGATGAGCCTTCAAATACGAACTGGAATTCTTAAATATATTAGAATTTACAGCTGAGTCTCTGCAGTCTCCTTTTACCTTTCACTCATCAGAACATATCTAAGCTTCTGAAGTTCCTACTATTTATCTTTCAACCTTTTAACTCTTAGTCCTGTCCTCAGTATAGATCAGCTTTTTCCAATCAGTAGTTTTTTTTGGGGTAAAATTTTTCAACTGAGTAGTTTCTATAATTTGCATACACGACTCGATGGCCGAGAAGGTAAACCATTGTACAAGCATGGAACTTGAAAACAAGTATCATCAGAATTCAGATCTTGCCTGAATTGAACACAGTTTGGAGACTTCTGTGTAAATACTAGGCTAGCTCTATCTCATGTGGGAGAGTTCATATTATATTCTTCTAGTTATTCATGTTCATACTTGTGGGTTCAGGTGGATTTTTGTCTCCCTTGAATCGAAAACTGATTGAACCAGAGGACATAATGAATTTTTGACCTGATGTTCCTTAATTTTGTTGAGATTTTAGAACTTTTTGCTTTGTTTTAAGCCAAGCTGATCAAGAAGTCAGATTTTCCTTTTTAATATTAATTATATTTTAGTTTTGGGAAGACAACAATAAGGAGGAAGTCCTAAATTGCCCAATTTCATCATCTATGTGGTTGGGGTACTTATTCCTGATTGAAGTCTATCAAAACTCCAAACCATTGGTTTTTGGATCATGTCAGAAGTTCATTATTCCTCTCCATCTTCTTCTGTACCCTAAAGTATCCCGGCTGTACCTTTCTATAGTTATATGTTGACTTTTCAGTGGGATCAATGTGAATAGCTTGTTTTGAGTATAATTTTAGTAAAGGTTTTTTTTTATAGCTTTTATCTAGGCTAGCCTAGAAATGTACAAATTCATTAGTGGAAAATTTTCAACTACACCAGTAATGCTTTTCACAATTTCAATAACTGCAATTTAATGTGCTTTTCAAGCATCTCACTGTAGACACAATGTCAACAAGATGTATCACCCCGCGGCAGATATGAGTTTGATAGTAACCACTTTGCGCAAAGTAAGGGCAAGGATTAGGTTTGTATCTGGTCTTTTTCTCTCTCTTAACCTCGTTATACTATATTGATTTGGACGGTAACAGATTATGTATTTTCGCCTCCAGGTGTTCTCTTTGATCTCCATCTTCGCTGATATGAAGAGCCATGAATCTTAGACACTGTGAAAGCCAACAGAAGCAATCAGGAGTGAGAACTCTTCCTCTCTTCTCCTTTGACTGGCAGTTATACTTTATTCAGCTGCATTTCAATATTCTTAATTTTTCACTTGTAACATGTGTTTTTATTCCATACTGCAATAAAAAAAGTAAATGAAGTCTGTTTGCACTAGCTTTCTGCTCTCTTGTACTATTAGACAGTATAGTTGACCCTAAGCTTCTGTTTGTTTGTTTGGTTTTTTTTTTTTTTTTGAAAGTAAAAGCAAACATGCACACTCATTATCCACGATATGTTCCTAGTGGGACTCGAACTCTCAACCTCCCTATTTGGGGCTAGATCATACCCTAAGCTTCTGTTGTTGCAGTCTGAACTGTTGCTATTCAGAATATACTCGGTATATCTCCACAGCAGAAAATTTTGTGCAGGAGCTATTGAGAATTATAAACACAAACGTGTCCCATTATTCACACCACTGCTAAGACCTTTTCCCTAATGGTTCATCAAGTTCATCATCACCCACTTCACATCTCCAAGTTGCCACATCCAATTATAACATTACTGAACTTTTTATCCGAGTTTAGTTGCATCCTCAAGAAAAAAAAACACACAGGATATAGAAGTGTTAACATGATGTTGACATTACTGGGTGCCTAACTAGGTTTTTGGTGGACGGTGCCGCGACTGCCACGTTAATCAACGTATTTCTCTTTTTCCTTTTCAGAAATCTTTAAGCATATGTGCTCCTTTTGATAATTAAAGTCAGTCTAATATTATAGGTATTTGAGAACACAAGATAGGCATGTGAAAAAGTGGAGTTTACATCCAAGATGGTCTGAATAATATAAATTGATTGTTGATTGGGAAGTTGAAGAGAAATCAGGAGAGAAACTTCAATCAGAAAAATGTTTGGAGCTTTCAAAATAAGATGTTTAGGACTACTTGTGATGATTATGAATTATGTACAATTCTGTTTTTTCTCTTGATTGTTGTTCTTTTTATACCTTTTCTCGTTTCCTTTTTTTATTTTTATTTTTTATATATATAAATAGGCATCAAAATGAGTGATATTCTTCATACCTCTAGTCCAAAAAGAAGAGAATAAAGTGAGTGCACAGCTTTAGGTATGGAAGAAAGAAAAAAATGTTGTTTTTGTTAAGGATTAATGACAATCATTATTCTGCATGCTTTTGTATATATTATTGTTTTCTGTACATATCCTAATTTATATTCATGTTATTGAACTGAGTGTATGATCAATTTTTACTTGTTGGAAGATTAAACTGGATACATCCCATGGGTTACAGAAAATTGTCTCTGTTTAATGTGGATGGGATATGACGCATGATGGAGAGACTATGATTCTTCTTAGGTGATCACTAAAGCATTCAATTGATGTTATTGGGACACTTTTGATGACAACAGAACATAGAAACTTGCATATAGAGCCTCACAATCTGCATCAGAAAAGCATATATTTGTACTCATCAATTTACGTATTCCTGGAAACTTTAGCTAGAACAGAAGAAGATTAAGAAAAAGTTGAATGACTGAAAAAGTAAGAACAAAGTTGTTATTAGTAGAGAATGTATTGAAGTCTTCTTCAGTATCCATGATCAATGCATGCTATCGGCTCATACTTGTACAGTACAGTTAGTCACAGAAGAAGAAGGGACCGGTGTTGCCAGGTACGTGGGGTTGTCTTCTCCGGCCATGATTACAGCAATCTTTGGCGTGGCATCAAGCTCATTGATTATATAGATACCAGGGCTGGTCCTGGCCTCACTTGAAGTGTTGTTGAACCGCTTTCGGTATGAACAGGCTAGGATGAGTAGTGCCACCATGATGAGCACCAATGCTAGAGCTAAGCTACCAAAGAGGTAAGGGATGGGAGAATTCCATTGCCAGGTTGAGGAAAATTTTGCAGAATTCATGTGTGTGTGTGTGTTAGTGCAATGAAACGAGGTTGATGATCTAGAATATATAGTTGAGTAGTGGAATTTGACAGTTCTCTGAGTGTGTACATGGCATCACTATATATATATATATATTATATAATATACCAACAGGCCTGTGGTCTAGCGGTACCAACTCCTATTTTCTAAAGGAAGGTTAGAGGTTCAAACTTCAATAGAGGCATGTGTGTGTGAGTACCAATTAGGAAAAAATATATATTATATAATATAATGCCTTGCCCTTTAATGAAGAATCTCTGTTATGCTTTGTAGATTCTATTTGTAAAGTAGAACAACTAAAGCCCTCAGTATGCATTCAAAATTGCAAGAAACTTTAGAAGTTTAAATAGTTAATAGTTACCACTGGAAAACTTCATTTCTGATAATGAAGTATTAAAGTATCCC